AATGAGTTCCAGGAAAATCAGAAAATTTCCCCTGAAATAGCAAAACCCCAGGACCATGCCACATTAATATGTGTGCCCCAGGAAACCCCAAATAAGGAATTACCGTAAAAATTGTTCCCGAGCCAGTGAAACAAATGCAAAATGGATTTTCAAGGACACAGCAAAAGCCCAGACCACGGTGACATTAGCAAGATGGCTAACTAGAAGATATTAGCCTTCATTCTCCCACTCACACAAAAACAGATAGTTATCTATGAATGATAATAGCCTTGGGAGGGCTCCGGGGTTCATTTAAGAATTTGCAGCAACATATTAGGGGAAAAAATGAAGAATGACTACATGGAAATAATTGGGAGACTTGTATATCTGAGACATCTGGAGATGGCTAGAAACAAAGAAGAAGTCCAGGGGCTATTTAGATCAGCCATGCAGCAGGTACCATTCACAGTCCCCAGTGGCCTGCTCTGAAGGGAACATGGGCATCATTCACCACTACAGCGAACAACAGCCATCCCTGCTGCAGACTCCAAAAGAAGAGAAGCTGCTGCATGCCACCTTGCAGACCATTATTAATGCAGCAATAAGGATGCCCGTGCCCTGAACACACTATGCCAAACTCAAGCAGTGATTCCTCCACGTGTGACCATGCTTCAGACCCCAACTCTGTGCCTGTTTTCCGTGCACACTACACGTCAGACACTGGTGCCACTACCACTGCAAGCATACCCTCAAGCTGAACCTGTCATAAAAAGAGATCCTCTTGGCCATGACTTCCCCAGTGGAAGAAAAAGAGATTGGAAGAATCATGACAGCCTTCACCACTGAAGATCCTAACAGCTGTCACCATTGCTGAGGACACCCACAGCCTTGGCCACTGAGAACACCTGCAATCTTTGTCAATACCAATCTCAGCTGACAGAGCTGCCTGGGGACTAAAGCTCTGCATCCTCACTGGTACTAGAATTGCTGCACTCCTTCACTCTCAGCTGGTACCTTTAGTTCCATCTAAAAGCCAAGATTTTTCCCTGCTAAAATCAGTCTATAAAGTCTAGAAGAGATGACTGCTCCATCAATGTTTGCAGACATCAAAGAAAAGCAACAAGAAAAAAACAAGGAAACAAAATACCACTAAAAATTGCATGCCTGTAACCCCAGCTACTCAGGAGGCTGAGGCTGGAGAACCACCTGAACCCAGGAGGCAGAGGTTGCAGTGAGCTGAGATTCCACCACTGCACTCTAGCCTGGGCAGTGGAATGATACTCTATCTCAAGAAAAAAATGATTTTTCAGTAACTGACACCAAAGAAGTTGAATTCTAAATTTTCCTGACAAATACTTCAAAATAATTATTTGGAGGAAGCTCAGTAAACTACAAGGGAACACCCAAACAATTTAACAAAATTAGGAAAATAAGATATGAACAAAATGGAAAATTTAGCAGAGAGATTAAAATTATTTTTAAAAAGATAAATTCTAAAGGTGAAGAATATGATGAATAAAATGAAAAGGGGCAATAGAAACATCAACAGCAGAATTGAGAAGCGGAAGAATTTGTGAATTTGAAGACAGGTTATTTAAAAATATCCAGGCAGACGATAAGGAAGAATGAAAGAAAATGAGGAAAATTTCCTATGGAATTTATGGAGCAGCATCAAGGGAGCTAACATTTGCATTGTAGGAATTTAATAAAGAGAAGATATCAAGAAAAGGACCAAAAGTTTATTTGATGAAATAATGTCTGGAAACTTTCCAAATCTAGGAAAAGAGATAGACATACGGATGCAGAAAGCTCAAATATCTCCAATCATATTCAATCCAAAGAAAGCTACGCCAAGACATTTTATAATCAAACTGTTAATAATCAAAGACAAAAGAATCGGAAAGCAGCAGGAGAAAAGAAGGTCCTAATATAAGGGGATCCCTAAAAGGCTATTGGTGGATTTCTCAGCAGTAACTCTGCAGGCCAGGAGACAGTGGGATGTTATATTCAAAGTGCTGAAAGAAAAAAAAAAAATGTCCAAGGGAGGTCGAGGCTGGAGGATTACCTGAGGTCAGGCGTTCAAGACCAGCCTGACTAACATGGTGAAACTTCATCCCTAGCAAAAATACAAAAATTAGCTGAGCGTGGTGGCAATGCCTGTAATCCCAGCCACTCAGAAGGCTGAGGCAGGAGAATTACTTGAACCCAGGAGGTGAAGGTTGCAGTGAGCCAAGATTGTGCCACTGCACTCCAGCCTGAGTGACAAGAAGAAAACTCCATCTCAAAACAAAAAGGAAAAATATCCAACCAAAAATACTTTATACGGCAAAACCGCCCATTAGAAATGAAACAAACACTTTCCCAGATGTGCAAGAGCTGAGAGAGTTTACCATCACTACATCTACCTTATCAAAAATGTTTAGGGGAGTTCTTCAGCCTGAAAGAAGGGACACTAACTGATAATATGAAAATATGTAAAGTAGAAAACTCACTGGTATATGTTCGTACACAGACAATTTCAGAATACTCTGGTACTGTAATGGTGGTGTGGAAATCATTTATATCTCTAGTATAAAGGTTAAAATGCAGAAGTACTAAAAATAATTATAGCTACAACAATTTGTTAATGGATACACAACATAAAAAAATGTACATTGTGACATCAAAAACATAAAATGTGTGGGGGGGTAAAAAGTATAAAGTTTTGGTATGCGATCCAAATGAAGTTGTTATCAGCTGTAATTGCTGTAACTACAAGATGTTTTACATAAGTGTCATGGTCACCACCAAGCAAAAACCTATAATTGATATATGAAAGATAAAGAGAGAAATCGAAGCATGCCACATACCACTACAGAAAATTATCAAATCACAATGGAAGACAGGAAGAAAGGAAGAAAAGAACAAAGGATCTATAAAACAATCAGAAAACAATTTAACAAAAGACAGTAGTAAGTCTTTACCTATCAATAACCTTGAATGTCAATTATTAAACTCTCCAATCAAAAGATATAAAATTACAGAAAAGTTTTTTTTTTTTTTAATGAGGTCTTGGTCTGTCGCCTGAGCTAGAGTGCACTAGTACAATCTCTGCTCACTATGACCTCCACCTCCCGGGTTCAAGCAACTCTCCTCCCTCAGCCTCCTGAGTCACACACCGCCACACCCGACTAATATTTGTATTTTTAGTAGAAACGGGGTTTCACCACGTTGGCCAAGATGTTCCTAATTTCCTTACCTCAGGTGGTCCACCCACCTTGGCCTCTCAAAATGCTAAAATTACAGGAGTGATTCATGCACTCCGCCAGATTTTTTTAAAAGACCAAACTATGCTGCCTACAAGAAACTCACTTCACTTTTAAGGGTACATATAGACTGAAAGTGAAAAGACAGAGAAAGGTAGTCCATGCCAATAGAAACCAGAAGAGAGCAAGCAGAGCTATACTTATGTCCGACAAAACAGACTTTCATTCAGAAACTGCAAAAGCAGGCAAAGAAGATTATTAATAATAAAAATGGGCCAATTCATCAAGAAGATATAACAATTATAAATTTATAAGCACCCAATATCAGAGCACCTAAATATATAAAGCAAATTGAATTGATATGAAGGGAAAGATCCACTGCAATATAATAATAGTAAAATTCTTGAGTACTCCACTTTTGACAATGAATGGACTGTCAAAATCAATACATTCCATTGGCTTTCTTTATCCCTTTTCATTGTTTTTGCCCCTCTGGCTGCACATTTCAAATAACCTGCCTTTGAATTCACAGATTCTTTTTTTAGCTTCTCATTTCTGCTGTTGATGCCTCTATATGCCTCAGACACAACATCAGTAAAGAAACATTTGAAATACTCTTTAGACCAAATGGACCTTAACAAACATCTACAGAACATTCCATTGAACAGTAGCAGAATAGATATTCTCCTCAAGTACACACGAAACATTCTTCAAGACAGATCATATGTTAGGTTACAAAATAATTATTAACAAACTTAAGAAGATTGAAATCATATCAAGTGTCTTTTCCAACCACAATGTTATGAAACTAGAAATAAGAACAGGAATATTGTAAAGTTTATAAATATGTGAAAATCAAACAACACATGAACAATCAATGGTTTGAAGAATAAGTTAAATAGAAAATTATCAAAATTTCAAAACAAATGAAAATAAAAATACATCCTAAAATTTATGACATGGAGCAAAAGCAGTTCTAAAAGGAAAATTTGTAGCAATAAATGCCTATATTAAAAAAATAAGAAATACCTCAAATAAACAACCTAACATAATGTCTCAGGAAACTCGACAAAGAAAAACCAATTAGGCCAGAAATTAGTAGTAGGAGGAAAATAACAAAGGTTAGAGCAGAAATACATAAAATAGAGACTAGAAAAAACAATAGAAAACATCAATGAAACTAATAGTTGGTTTTTTAAAAGATAAACAAAATTGACAAACTTTTAGCTAGACAAACTTACAAAAAGACCCTGTCTCAAATAAAAAATAAAATAAAATATAGACTTCAAACCATATTACCACAATTTCAAGAATTTTATGAATAAAAGAAGACACACTGTATTCATAAAATGTTTAGAGGCTGTAATAGATAATTTTGGATGCAGCGTAGTTTGGCCTATATATACAAAATATGTCAAATTAAGTGTAATCACAATAACTTGTTATGTAACTTTGTTACATTGGTAACAATGACTCAAAATAAATAGAGTCGTATTTTAGGTGGAAACATGAAAATCCGTGTAAGTGGCAGGGCTGGAGTTCTGTGTTGCCTGGGCAGAGAAAGCACTGAGACCTAATGATGGGCACAGCTCTCTACTGAGAAGTCCTGCAGAATCATGAACCTTGAGTTCACGTGCTCTACGCTTCACTGTGCCTCCACCCCAAGATCCCAATTTCTTCTATTCCATCTTGTTTAGTCTTATCAACAGAGAAGCATAATTTGACCTGTTCTCAAAGGAGGCAGCAGGATTCTGGTTCTGGTAACAAAGTTCCTGTTGGAGAATGGCACCCGGAAGAGATCTACTGGAAAGCTGGTGCTCCAGGATCTCTGAAGAACATATCAGGTCTGAGGCTTGGTGTCAAGGATGGTTTTCAAAGAGCAGATTTTTCCGTAACCTTACACAGCATCTTCATAGTCCACATCTGTAATGTTCGCTTTCCTTGGCCTGGCATAGATGTCTAAGGAAACCTGGAAGCAAAGGTTAGGACTAGAACAGGAAGTCAAGCAAAACATGCCTCCACTGGTCCTCTTCCCCAGTCAGTTTGATGTATCTTATCATAGCACACCACACAACACAAAAATCAGGGCCTCTGGGAAAAGTGTGGTCCAAGACCAGCATTTTCAGAGTGCCTGTATCCCACCGGTGGACTAAAAAGATGCTCCTGACAAGCTGCAGCTGCAAACTGATGCAAACACACAATGCCTTCCCTCATTCTTATGGGCCATTGTTAGGGAGGCCCATGGGCTGTCATTTTTTAAAAGGTTGTCAGATTTTGTGTTCATAAATTAAATTTGGCATGTCACTGGAGTTTGCCAAGGGTTTGAATTTTGTCCTGAGATACTTGGCTGCCACACTACACTAGACGAAACTGCAAAGCCCCTACTGCTTTTGCACACATGCACAGAGTTGGAATTTCTGCATTTTCAGAGGGTATTTTTGTATCATTGGTGATATCTTGGATTCTTCCGAGTTAACCAATTACTAATTTTTAATGACACAAATTACTATTAGCTTAGCTTTGTTCAATATTAATTTAGTTGCTGTGGATTGTTTGGCTAACCTTATAGCACAAAGTGATGGATGTACGGCTCAACAATATTTTAGGATAAAGATTTTCAAAGAAATAGAGTTTTTAGACTAGATATGCACTGCAGTTTAACTAAAAATCATTTACGGGTCCATTGCTAAAGTAAATATGTTTGTAAGCCTCCAAAATTTCCTTGTACAATGACACTTTATTGCTGTAACTACATATTTTTACCTCCATCGTGTTGGGATGTAGGAAAGAGGTAGATTATAGGATTTTTGCTCTTTCTAAGTGGCTATAATTTAAGAAGTTTGAGAGCCAGGCCCCAGAGGAAAGAAAGAACATGGGGAAGAGAACAATAAAGACTCTTACCTTGTCCTCCCTATGTGCCCCTGGGGTTTCTGCTGCAGAGAAAAGTTAAGTGATGAGAGATTCCACTTATATGTAAAGTCTGTCACTAAACTTGTGTTAAGAAAAGCTTCTTGGCCGGGCGCGGTCTCCCAGCACTTTGGGAGGCCAAGGCGGGTGGATCACGAGGTCAAGAGATCGAGACCATCCTGGTCAACATGGTGAAACCCCGTCTCTACTAAAAATACAAAAATCAGCTGGGCATGGTGGCGCTTGCCTGTAATCCCAGCTACTCAGGAGGCTGAGGCAGGAGAATTGCCTGAACCCAGGAGGCGGAGGTTGCGGTGAGCCGAGATCGCGCCATTGCACTCCAGCCTGGGTAACAAGAGCGAAACTCTGTCTCAAAAAAGAAAAAAGAAAAGCTTCTTTCTCTCCCATCTATTTCCCATGAATTGATTTCCATTCATTTTTTCTGTTTTGCTTTTCTGTTTATCACAAAATTATTCCCTTAGTAGCCAGAGGAAAATTGGCAGCCTGGGGCTGGCGGGGAGAGGGTAAGTAGGCCTCCTATGCCAGTAGGGGCCTTTATACTTCTCAGATATTCTGGGGCCACCAGGTACAAGAGCAGCAGCTAGGCAGCTGCGATGGGGTGATGAGGAGTGTGCCAGGCCACTCAAAGAGGGAAGGCAGAAGCCATCATCTCTGATGCTGCCACGTGATGAGGAGTAAGGCATAAAATGTAGGCCTTACAACGACACCTTATCGTAACTACATGCTTTTACCTTCATTGTGTTGGAAGCAGGGAAGAGGTAGACCATTGGATTTTTGCTCTTGCTAAGTGGCTGTAATTTAGGAAGTTTGAGAACCAGTCCCCAGAGAAAAGAAAAGACCTTAGCATCAGCTCTGGGCTCTACTCAAGGTAGCTCCAGACCAAAGGACAGCCTCCAAGTACACACAGTAATGCTCGAAGCCTTCTGCTCTGAAGAATGCTGTTATCTTGTATGCACAGCCTGATTGTTCTCTTGGTTCCAGGAAAGACAAAAGTCAGAGACAAATTTATTCCCCATGTCTCACCTGCTGCTGATTCCTGCTCCTGCTGGTTATAGTGCACCAACGAGTAAACCTCATCCCCACTTACAACATTCACTGCAAGAGAAGGAAGGAGACATCATGACACAGCCCCTGATTCCTGTCTTTCAGATTACTCCCTACCATCCACCAGTCACAGCCATGAAGACAGATGAGTCACTTGTTTGTAGCAGAGGCTGGGACACAGCAAAGTCAGGTTTGGCTAGCAGATGTTATCCCATTGTCCCTTCTCCAGCTTGCTCTACCAACTTTGGCGTGGGTCATTGGGAAGGCTCACCATTTTCATATACAGGCTGTAGCTGCCCTGGGGTAGGTGAGTTTGAGTTGAGGTAGGTGAACTCTTGGGGTACAGGGCTGGGAAGGCTCCTGCAAACACAGAGACACATGTTATTTATCTGAAATATGCAGCTATCACATTGAAGGAGAGAAGCCTGTAAGAAATGGTCCTGAGCAGAACACTAAATTATGGGGAAATGAGCAGGTGGAAGGCACAGGAGGGTGGTATGAGCCCTGGCCCTGTGCACAGGCTGAGTGGGGCACTGCAGAGCAGGCACCAGAGGGTAACTCCATGGGTGTAAGGTTCGTATCTCACTGGCTCACTGTGGTACTGCCCATTCCCAGAATAGTGTCATTCATATCATGAGTGCTCCCTAAATATTAAATGAATAAATATTGATTCATTCCAGACAGAAAACACTTTGCTGGGCAGAACAAGCAACTTGAGGAAGGGGCAGAAGAAAATGGTCCTTCACGGGCAGATGCCAAAGAGTGCCACTCTGATTTGAAAAAAGTATCTGTTTATTGTTGGCATAAATGACAATACATTATTTTAAAAAGTCATCTAAACATTGGTATCTCTAGATGGAAGTATTTTAAAAAATATTTTCCTCCTCTGAACATCTAAAGAACTTCATGAATAACTGTTCAGTATGTTTATTCCTGTGTGTCTTACATTCCAGAAATGCGCATGTATCTTACCTATCCTAAAATACTTTCAAACTCTCAAGAGCTTTTTTTTTTTTTTTTTTTTTTTTTTTTAAGATGGAGTTTCACTTTTGTTACCCAGGCTGGAGTGCAATGGCACGATCTCGGCTCACTGCAACCTCCGCCTCCTGGGTTCAGGCAATTCTCCTGCCTCAGCCTCCTGAGTAGCTGGGATTACAGGCACGCACCACCATGCCCAGCTAATTTTTTTTTTTTTTTTTTTTTGTATTTTTAGTAGAGACGGGGTTTCACCATATTGACCAGGATGGTCTCGATCTCTTGACCTCGTGATCCACCCATCTCGGCCTCCCAAAGTGCTGGGATTACAGGTGTGAGCCACCGCGCCAGGCCTGAGCTTTTTATATTTCACACCTCTCAGCACTCAACAGAATGACTTACAGATCCTCAAATATTGGTTGATTGATTGAATTAATGCATGATCCTGCTGAAAGCAATGTGATTTTATTTATTATTCATTCATTCATTCATTCATTCATTCATGTATATTTATTTATTTATTTGAGACAGAGTCTTGCTCTGTCGCCCAGGCTGAAGTGCAGTGATGCCATCTCAGCTGACTGCAATCTCCGCCTCCCAAGCTCTAGCGATTCTCGTCCCCCAGCCTCCTGAGTAGCTGGGACTACAGGTTCACACCACCACAACTGGCTAATTTTTTGTATTTTTGTACAGACGGATTTCACCCTGTTTTCTGGGGTGGTTTGGACTCCTGAGCTCAGGCGATTCACCTGCTGTGGCCTCCCAAAATGCTGGGATTACAGGCGTGAGCCACCGTGCCTGGCTGCAATGTGATTTTAATATTCTGCAGGGGTGTAGAGGGGGATCAATAGGAAAAATAATGAAAAGATTTATCATTAATGTATGAAATCTAAAAGAAGGGAAGTGACAGTGAATTGTTCCAAGTTGCCAGTAGGAGAACTCAGGAGTGCACTGTAAGTATAATAAAATAGAAAAAAAGAAAAAGAAAAAGGAAAAGAAAGCTGAGGAGAGAACAAATCTAAATCTATCTTTAGAATAGATTTTTCTGCATTATTGGCACATATGGAGAAAACAGGCCTCACCTGATTGGATCCCTGGCTGAACGTCTTCCTGCAAGACAAACAAATGAGCACATGTAAATAGAGGAAGCTCACTGTCGGCGCTTTTGTATACCCTGTGCAGGGACGTCCGTCATGCTCAGATGCCCACTGTGGGTGCCACTGTGTGCCCAGAAGACATTCTGGCAATCATTTACAGAGCCTGCATTTCACAGACAGAAACTCAGGTCTTGAATAATTAAGTGAGCTTCCCAAAGCCAATTAGTACCAGATCTAGGACTTGAGACCCAAGTCTCTAAACTCCTGCATTTATTGTATGTTTTGGGTTTGTTTCACAACCGTACCACCCAATCTTATTGTGACATAAGTTCTTGGAGGCAGGTGCTGCCACAATCGTGTTATAGATGGTGTGAGGTACCGAAAGATGTCAGAAAAGCTTGGAATTTAAATGGGAATCATAGCGTCCTCTCTTGCCTTGTCTCCAACTTCCTCAGTGAACAAGAGACCAAAGTTAATTATATAAACAAATATATAATTACCAGTTGTGATAACGTGTGAATCTAACAACTTGAAACTCATAATAAGAGAGAACCACTGTAGGCTGGACAGGCCAGGTAAAGCCTCTTGGACAAAATGACATTTCAGAGGAAAAGTGGAAAAGCGAGAAAGTTCCAGCAGTAAGTAGAATGTGTAGATGTGTGAATGTGCATTTCAGAGAAGAAAAAGCATGTGACAATACTTGCAGGTGAATCAGAATTGATGCACTGACTTTAGTATTGGGATAGAGTCAGGATAGCTGGAACTGCTGACTGAATTTCTCTTCTGTGCCCAATTATTTTGAATAGCACATTTTTGTAGAAAAATTAAATCCCAGAAGCACAAAATATCACTTGAACCTCAATTAACGGCACATAGTGGGTGGAGAACTTTACAAAACTTTACACTATGTTGATAGGTACCATTCCTACCTGCTGGGGTTGTGGGCAGATTCAAAGGCAAGGTAGCTCAGAGCATACACATCTTCTACAGTATACATGTCACCATTTCAGCCTATTTCAGTGAAAACAAAGATCACAGTAACAAAATGCCACTCTCCTTAAATACTCACCTATTTTTCTTTTGAGGCCATAGCAAAATAATAAGGCCACGGTCACAGGTCCAAGGGTGCCGAGCAGCCCCTCAATGACTCTCGAGGTAAGATGATTGCTTCTGTCTCCTGTAGGCCCTAGAGGGAGAGACTTGTGCATCATCTGCTGGGAGGAAGGGCTTGGGGCTTAGAGAGCAGACATCTTGGGTGTGGGTTGTGCCCAAGGCCTGCTCTTCCAAGCGGGGATTTATTTATTTGTCTAGGGACTTGTGGCTTATCACATTTATGAAAAGAGAAGAGTGACACCCAAACTTAAGTTCTCCATGCCTCTCCTATACATCACTCAGGACAGCACCTCACCCAGAAGCCCCACCTTTGGTAGCACACCCCAGGAAGCATAGTGGCATCAGCAAAACTCTCCCAGGATGCTGGGAAGGAAACGTTGACCAAGACACTCCAGAGCCTGAGCTATACCTGTGAAGTCGAGTGTCACCGCCTCACTGCGCTGGGCCCCCAGGCCATTGTCGGCCTCACAGGAGTAGTTTCCAGAATGTTCTGCAGTCAGGGAGAGGTTGAAGGAGGCTCCTCCTCCAGAGGGGGCCGAGCTGCTCCCAAAGGTGACATCCTCATGATAAAACCAGTACAGGATTGGGGGAGAGCCTCTCCGGGCCTCGCAGTGAAGCTCCAGCACATGCCCCACCACAGCCTCAGCTCTGGGAGCCCTGATCGTGAGGATGGGGCGAGACACCGGAACTGAGGGAGACAGTAGACTGTAAGAGAAGGTCTCTGACGATGCAGCAAACTAATAATCCCTGCCCACCGATGCTCAGCCCCATGGAACTTCCTCAGTATGCCCCAGGGAAACTTTGTGTGCCCCAGGGAAGTGTGGAGCCCAATTTGAGACCAGCTGGCCGAATGGAGGGTAGTAGAACTTACTTCTGATGGTGATGCTCACCAGCCCACTGGGGCTGGGATCGTAGCCATTTTCAGCTACACAGTAATATTGCTCGGCATCGCTCTCCCTCACTGTAGGGATCTCATACTCTGCTGTCAGTGAACGCTGGGTCTTTGTCTGAAGGTTTAAACCTGTGGCCCCTTTGTACCAAAGGAAGGTAATATTTCCTGTGCCTGTAGCCGCTGAGCAGATGAGGACCAGCCTGTCTCCCTCCATCACCTGTCCTCCTGGGGGCTGAGTCTCCAAGCTCACATCGGCGACAGGGATTCCTGTGTGAACACAAGATGACATAGGAAGACCCTGAGTAGGGAGAGTTTCAAAGATAGTAAGTAGATGTGACAGTCCTGAAAGCAAAGGCTATGAGTGAAGTCAGTGATGTATATACCTTAATTTGGGTGAGGGGGAAGGGGGCCTGCGGATTGTTTGGGTTGATGATGATAGGATAAGAGACACCCTAGTGTTACCATAGAGGGTGGAGTGACACCTCTCTCCCTAGAACAATGTGACTTCCATTACCCTAATCTCTCAAACTTTCATTTTTTCAAGGCACAACAGTATAGTGAAGTGATCATAAGTCCAAATTGTAAATCAAACTGCCTTATTTGAAGAGGAGTTCCAACTCCTTCACTTACTGTGTGTGATTGATCAAATTACTCAACTTCTCTGAGAAACAATTTCCCATCTATATGTGAAAGAGAACTGGTAATGCTAGTTATCTCCTGCAGTTGGATGGTTCAATTACACAGTATCTGTGAAACACTAGGATAGGACCTGCCATGTATAAACTAAACTGCTCAGTAATTATTGTGGTGGTGGTGGTGGTGGTGGTGGTTCAGTTTCACCAGTATTGAGTTTTTAGCAAGTGTGGGAGAGCACAGCCTTTTGGAGATATTAGACATTTGCTTCACGGCACCATAGAATGGGAGAGGATGCTGGAAATGTCAACATTGACGTGGAATAACACGATGAATTACAAAGCACTCTTTTGTCTATGTATTTTTTTCAATCAAGCCCCAACTGCCCTTCCGTAAGCCCAGCTCCAGTAACCTATTCTACACATTCCTTCCACAAAACCTTCCTGAGCACCTCAGCCCTATTTCTCCCTTCTCTGTAGTCTTTGTCAACAGCCAGTCCTCCACAAGGCAGCATCGCATATTCCACCCTAGTTATTCGGAGTGCTGGCTGAGCATCCACTTCGTGTAGTCACGCATCAAGTATCGTGCAGCTCTTGCCCCCACACCCTCCAGCACAGTGAAGACACACAGTCAGGGTTTCCTAAGTACTCTCTGTTTGCCTGAATGGAAGCAGAGTGAATAAGGGACGATCCCCTAAGGATCCTGAAAATGAGAGAAACTCAAAAATATCTTTCAAACAGCTCCTACTCTTGCAGAAGCAGAACCCGTTAATAGTGAGGATTAGCCTCTTGCCCCTGCCCTTCTCAGCCAGTAGGGGGCAGACTGACCCCACTACCACTCACTTTGCACGTTTATCTGGGTTCTCTGGCTCATCAAGACTTTGGATGTCATTGTCTGTGCCTCGCACCAGTAAGACCCTGAGTCTTCTTTCCACATGGCGGCGATCTGGAGCTTGGGGGAGCTGCTCCAGCCCGGGCTCAAGGTCCTGGAATCGCTGAAGAAGCAGAATTGGAACTGGGCATTTAACCTCTGTGGAGAGCGCATCTCACAGGTCAGGGTCACCGGGCTCCCCTCTGTGGGGTGGGAGGGGCTGGCTGTCAGCAACAGCTCTAGAGAGAGGAATTAAACACAAACGTTTAATGGGGTTCAGAGTTTCTGGTAAGAGGCACTTTGGGTCTCAGCACTTGCAGACAAGACTCAAAGTAACAGTTGACACACAGGCCACCCAACATGCCTCCACCGCTCCCTGGTGGCCCATGGCTTTCCTTTGCCACGAACTCACCCTGCTCACCCCTGGCACATCCTGCCCCGTGCAGCATTATCTTTTAGAAGGCAACCCTTACCTGTGACTTGAATCTTACTATTTTTTGAAGTTTCTGTTCATAAACTAAAAACACCTTTCTTGAAGCCAACCTAGTAATATTGAAGATTGTCACTGGAGTTGGCACTGGAGATGGTGAAGCCTGACGTTATATTCAAAGTGAGTATCTTTCTTTTATCCTTGTAAGCCGTTTTCATTATCTTCTTCTGTTCCCTTTCCCCTGGCCTCTCAGAACCACACTATCTTTTTCAAAAATAGAATATGGGACCTGCAGGGTCAATCTGTCCAGGAAAGCCATGGAAGAATCCAGTCCCCTCATTGCTGACTCTGTCCTGCCCCGTTATTGCTATTTCTCTTTGAATAAATGGGGTGTGTTTCCTTGGAAATGCCCAGTACCCACCATCTACACAGCTCAGCTCCCTTGATCTGGGGCTTCTGTACAAACCTCTGTAGAAACTATGATCTAAGGAGCTAACTTAATTCATACCTTAAACCTCAGGGATGTGTCCCTTTGGAGTGTTAGGGGCTCTTTTTCTTTTTTCTCCTTTTCAAGACAGGATCATGTTCTGGCTCTCAGGCTAGAGTTCAGAGATGCAATCTCAGCTCACTGCAATCTCAACCTCCTGGGCTCAAGCAATCATCTCACCTAAGCCTCTCAAGTAGCTGCAACTACAAGCACATGCCACCAAGTGCAGCTAATTTTATTTATTGTTTTGTAGAGACAAGGTCTCATTATGTTGCTCAGGCTAGTCTCAAACTTCCGGGCTGAAATGATCCTACCACCTTTGCCTCCCAAAGTACTGAGTACAGGTGTGAGCCACCACTCCTGGCCTGGGACTCTTTTCTGGTGATAAAGATAAAGCTGTGCTCTGCTCTCTCCTCATCTCCCCAACTTGCAGTAGCCCATAAAAGTGTCACAATCCCTAACAGCTATGCGCTGTTTGGGCATTAGTTTATTCAACTCTCAGAGCTTCTGTCCCTTGGAAAATGTTGTACTTTCCCTAAGACAAAACCTCCTTTCTTCACCAGATGAAAATGACAAGTGTTTCGAATTGCTAGGGGGTGGTTCCTGGTTCAATATCTGTAATCTCTAAGCTTTTCTGCTGAAATGTGCTTTTTTAAAAGACCTTTTAAACATCAGTTTCATTCATATATTTTTTTTGTCCTGAGGCATAGAATATCTTAGAGTCACTGTCTTTCCTTGGAAAACTGTAGTAACCAGGAGACTGACCAGTAGCACAGCTCTTGGACTTAGTTAGGACAATAAATAAAAAAGGCAGTTAGGCCAGGCATGATGGCTCATGCCTGTAATCCCAGCACTTTGGGAGGCTGAGGTGGGTGGATCACCTGAGGTCAGGAGTTCGAGACCAGCCTGGCCAACAGGGAGAAACCCCATCTCTACTAAAAACACAAAAATTAGCCAGGCGTGGTGGCGTGCATCTGTAGTCCCAGCTACTTGGGAGGCTGAGGCAGAGGAATCGCTTGAACCCAAGAGACAGCGGTTGTGGTAAGCTGAGATCGCACCACTGCACTCCAGCCTGGGTAACAGAGTGAGACTCCATCTCAAAAAAAAGGGGGTAGGGGGGCATTTGGGCATCTGTAACCCACTTTTCTCAATGGGGCTAGGGTGGTGATGAAGTAGGAAACCGGACAGGGTGACTGCAAGGGTCTGGAGCTCAGTCTTACAGCTCAGAGCTTGTTTCGGATAATTCTCCGACAGCAGAGACCACCTGGAAAATACCTGGTGACAGAAACTTGGTTTCCTCATCTTTGATATGGCTTTGGATTTCTGCTTAGACTGGGATTGGGCACTTGAGTTAGGGGTAAAGATGAGACCAGACACAAAGCATGCATGGTATTAACACAAGTCATGAGTTAGGCTTGGGCAACCGTTAGGTAAGGAACCTAGAAGGCAGATTGACTCGGAATCTCTCTGGCCACAGGAATTCCTGATCTTGTGTTCCCTGGTTGCACCTGCAGCCTGTGTTCTTGGGGTAGCAGAGCAATCTCTTCTAACTCCGTGGCTAGAATTTAATGTACAAGATAGCAGTCCTCACATTTTTTTTTTTTTTTTTTTTTTTTTTTTTTTTTTTTGAGACGGAGTTTCGCTCTTGTTACCCAGGCTGGAGTGCAATGGCGCGATCTCGGCTCACCGCAACCTCCGCCTCCTGGGTTCAGGCAATTCTCCTGCCTCAGCCTCCTGAGTAGCTGGGATTACAGGCACGTGCCACCACGCCCAGCTAATTTTTTGTATTTTTAGTAGAGACGGGGTTTCACCATGTTGACCAGGATGGTCTCGATCTCTCGACCTCGTGATCCACCCGCCTCGGCCTCCCAAAGTGCTGGGATTACAGGCTTGAGCCACCGCGCCCGGCCACATTTTTAACATTGAGCATGATCTTGTGTAGAGTCCTTGGTGGGGAGAGGAATTCCCTGCTCTCCTCCTCTGGTAAAAGTAAGACTTTGACTCGGGATCAGAGCAATGAAGTAAGTTTGCATGAACCAGAGTCCAAAAGAGAAAATGAGCTGGGGTAACAGGTGTGGCTGCAGAGGAGGATTAAGAAGAGGAAGGAGGCAGCAGTACCTCTTTATTCCACACACGGCTGGAGGATGGACTCTAATGCTCTCCATGGATGCGGGGTTTTGGCATTTCCTTCATCACCCCTGGTGACACACACAGCCTTGGAGCACAACTGGGAATGGGAGCTCCTGAGGCTGGGAGGACAGAGATGCTTCTAGCATGAATCTTCAGCACCCTTTGCCTTCCTCGTGTAAACAGCCTCTCCCTCCCTGTGCTGGGACTTCCCGGAAATAAGACTGCGTTCTTGAGAAGGTCAGAGCAAGACCTGTTCACCTCACTGAGCAGACATGTGTCAGGTGCAGAAGCTGATGTAAAGACAGAGCAGCCCAGGCCCAAGGGAGCCACTGATGTTTGTACGCCTCAGCGGCTGTCACCCTGATAGGTCTTGGGCAGGGAGGGGCTGCTAAGACAGCCATCCGCAGGCCTCTTGTGCTGACCTAAGTATCAAAATACCCACAGACCCCGAAGAATAAAAGGAAGTGCAACTCACCAGTGGGTTCACAGAGTGGAGCTAGGAGAGAATGCAGCAGAGATCAGTCCAGAGCAGCAAACTCCACACATCTACAAAGTTTAAATCCTCTGAGAGATTCCCCGACACCACACCCTCCATCCCTTGTGCCCTCCCTGCATCTCTCTCCTCCTCCCTCCTTCTCTCTCTCTTCTCCCCTTCCTTCTTTCAACTTCTCTTCCTCGCTCCTTATCTTACCCCCGCTTCTCTTCTTCTTTCTCTCCACTCCTTTCCCCGCATTTCACATCACTCACGGAGCACCTGCCCGCAGAACCCCACGTGGATCTTGTCACGATCATAAGGTAATTGCCAGTGATTTTTGTTGGCTGTGATTAGGAGATGGCGTCTTTGCCAACTACCTAGCAGCTCCCTCTTCAAGCTCTTCAAGCTCCTCCTTCCCACTCCCACCTCCTCCTCTCAAAAGTCTTGAGGATCCAGCTTTGGACTCGCTGTCTCATGGGAACAAGAGTCAGGCAAGGAGAGTGCAAAGCCTCAGACTCAAGGCACGGAGACCCTTTTTTTTTTTTTTTTTTTTTTTTTTAACCAATTTCAGATCAGAGGAGGCTTAGGTCCAGAAAAGAAATTCAGATTTCTCCAAAACTTCTTCTATCCTGAGGAGTTGACCATGATATTATGGCTCAATGATCAAAAAATAATAATTCTGGGTAGAATGCAGACTGTGTAGCTGGATGACACAGATTTGAGGACTGGCTCTTCCTCGTACAAGCTGTGTGACTGGGGGGAAATGTCTCACCTCTCGTGCTTTAGTTTCCTTGTCTATAAAGTGCAGACAACAGTAGCACTGCCTCATGGAGTTTGTGTGAATATTAAATAAATTCCTATTCTTAAGGAACTCAGGCTAGTGCCTGGAATTTACTTATTCAGCAAACATGTGTCATCATTATTATCTATTTTACCCAAGCATGGTTGGAGATACTTCTTAATGTTTCCTTGAAACATTAGTTCCTTAGGTAGGAGAAAAGTATCAACAGAAGATAGCATAAAATCATATTTTATATATTTATTCATACAACAAATAATCTGAAGTGCTCACTGTATGCCAGACATGGAGTGGTGGGAGTGAACACGGATGACAATCTTCGATGTCAAGAAATTTATCTTATAGTAGGAGAGAGTCAGTTTAAAAAGAAGTATAGAATATTTTTTTAGAGGGTGATTGGTGCTGTAAGAAAAATAAAGCAGAGAAATAAGATACAGAACATTGTAAGATGGTCTTAACTGTTTAGATAGATTTAGACAGATTCAGTAAAAACCTGAATGAATCAGGAAACAAGTCTTCTGAATATTTGGGAAAAAGCATCCTTGGCAAAGAAAACAGCAAATGCAGGTATCCTGAGGATGAAATAAGCTTGTACAAGGAGGGAAGGGAAGGCAAGGGCACCTGGAACTGACCAGGTAAGGGGGCAGGGGTTCCGTACCAGTGTCTGAGAAATAGAGAAAATCCAGTCACGGGCACTTTACGGACTTGTCAACAGTCTTGGATTTCATTCTAGGTGTGATGGGGAGCTACGGGCAGTTCTTCCTGAATTTACAATATCACTCTGACACGGTGAGGAAAACAGTATACAAATGCAAGGAAAGCAGGGAGCACATTAGTGGGAATTTAGTTTAGGAGAGTAAAGACAGTGGCTCCGATTAGACAGTGCTGGTGAAGGAAGTGGTCAGATGATAGTATAAACTCTGAAAGTACAATTCATAGGAATGGCTTATGGTTTAAACAGAAAGTGCGAAAGAAGAGAGAAGGGAATTTAGTATGACTCCTAGAGCTTTGGCCACAGCAACTGGAAGAATGGTAGTGACATTTGGAGAAGCCGTGGGGGGAAATAGGTTCAGTTTTGTGGAGGTGGTAGTACAGCTGGAAGATCAAGAGATCTGTTTGAGTTTAAGATGCCTGTTAAACACCTGATGGCATGTTAAGTCTGAGATGAGTATTAGGATGTCTATTACACACCCGAATGCAGTTCAGCACATAAAAGGTATTTAAAAGAGAGGTCAAAGCTGGAGAAATGAGCTTGCATTTAAGCTTACAGTGGCATATGAAGTGGCATAATTATATAACTTGGGGAAGTGAGTATGGATGAATTCTAGGTATCAACTTTGAGAAGGTCCAATATTTTGAGGTCAGCAAGGAATCCAAGCCAGATGCAGTAGCTTATGACTGTAATTCCAACGCTTTGGAAGACTGAGGAGGAAGGATTGTTTGAGGCTAGAAGTTTGAAACCAGCCTGGTCAGCAAAACAAAACTCTTGTCTGTAAAATATATATATATATGTATTTTCAGATGGAGTTTCACTCTTTTCACTCAAGCTGGAGTGCAGTGGCACAATCTTGGCGTACTGCAACCTCCACCTCTCAGGTTTAAGTGATTCTTCTGCCTCAGCCTCCCAAGTAGCTGGGATTACAGGCATGTGCCATGACACCTGGCTAATTTTGTATTTTTTTTCTTTAGTAGAAACTGGGTTTCATCATGTTGGTCAGCCTGGTCTGAACTCCTGACCTCAGGTGATCCACCCACCTTGGCCTCCCAAAGTGCTGGGATTACAGGTGTGAGCCACCGTATCTGGTCAGAAAATTGTTTTAATTAGCCAAGTATGGTTGCATGTGTCTCTGGTTCCAGCTACTCAGGAGGTGGAGGCAGGTGCATCACTTGAGACCAAGAATTAAAGGCTGCAATGAGCCATGACCATAGCACTGCACTTCAGCTGGGGCAACAGAGTAAGACCTTGACTCTAAAACAATTAAGTAATTTAGCAAAGAGACTGAAAAGCAGCAGATACTGAATTAGAAAGAAAACCAGCAGAATATGATATTCCAGAAGCCAAGTGAAAAATGTTTCCAAAAAAAGAGTGATCAACTGGTCCTGAGAAATTGAGTAAAATAAAAAATTAAAATTGACTCCTGGGTGCCACAACGTGAAGGTGGTTGATGCTTTTACAAGAACAGTTTCAATGGAGTGGTAAGGATGAAAAATCGATTTAAGTGGGTTCCAGGAAGAGTGAGGAAGAACTATAAGGACTTAGACCAGTTTACCAAGGGTTAGGAATGGGGAAAGATTTGACTATAAGGAATTGAAGGCACAAGGAATTTTTTTTTTTTTTTAGATGGGGTCTCGGTCTGCCACCCAGGTTGGAGTGCAGTGGTGCAATCTCGGCTCACTGCAACCTCCACCTCCCAGGTTCAAGCAATTCTTCTGCCTCAGTCTCCCAAGCAGCTGGGACTACAGGCATGACTACCATGAGATTGAACAGGGAAGTTTGAGGTGACAGGATAAAGCATGCCATAGCGATCACAGAGCAACATGGACTATGAACAAGTAGGATGATTGTCTGGCACTGCTGTTGGCTACCTTTCAGGGGTTCTACACTTAAAAGAGGATAAGTCATCAGGATCTTGCCTTAAAAAAAATCCTATTCAGCTGTTTATGCCAGGGGGTGAAGCAAGCAGAAGGGCGTATATACCAGGAGAGTGCTGTGGGGGAAGAGAGATGAAGGTGTACTCAAGGGAGGGTTGTGGTGGTGAGCTGCAGAATTTGAGCTGAGTGCCATGAGAAGGGAGCACATGAAGTGTACTCACCAAAAATGGTGAAGTAGTCCTGGAGCAATTGGAAGGCGTGCTGGAGACAGAGCGTGGGAGAAAGTGAGCCAGAAACACGATGTAGTCAGGGGATGCGTGCTGAAAACAAAGGAGTGATGACAAGTTCTAAGGTCTGACGATGGGAATGGGGAGTCAGAAACAGATAAAAGGAAATGATGTTGATAGTAAGAAGAGCAACGGATTCAGAGGCTAAAAATTGTTATACAGATGATTTTTTTTTAACAGCTGTTGAAAACACTGAGAACAAAGACAGTTACTGATGGAAGGAAGACAGTGAACACTCCCTATGAGATAAAACTGAAATGATCGTTTTCTTGAAAATTCTGGCTTGTTGAAGTATTTACAACTTTTTTGCCTGACTCTGAGCCCCCAGTGGAAGCAGAGATCTGAGCATCTCTGAGCATCAGCTGACAGAACCTTAGCCCTGAGAAGTCCTTACAGCTCTTCAGGAAACAGAGCCCAAGTATGATCGCATCCCATAGCCTGCTCTGAGTCGTCCAACTCACCACAGATCAACAGCAACAGCCTTGGCAGCATGAGGACCAGATCAGGAGTGGTACCTAGAGATGCCTCTCATCAAAAAAAGAATGCATCTCCGAGTCGAGCAGCAGCAGCTCGTCAGAGGTTTGAGGAAGTTGGGATGGGGAGTTACCCTTCAGCAAAAGTAGAAGGAAGAAGAGCCCTCCAATGACCCGTCTGCATTTCCTCTTCTATGAAGGCTGAGAAAATTAAAGATACTCCTTTTTAAACTTAGTTTGATTCAACTCCACAAGTTGCACATAGTACACATCACTATTTGAGGGACTTCTTCAAGAACTCATGTATCTCAAAGGAAGTTTCTTAAAGGCAGTTTTATTACTTTGATGAATCTCATTAGGTTATGGTCCTGTTGAAATTCACTTGTGATACATCTACAATACTTTTCACCTTTGTTAGGGTTGTCTCCTGGATTGTTTCCAATCGGCACATTCTTCCTTCTCAGCAATACAGGCCCACTATGCAAACTTTCTCTAGTGTAGTCACGTTATGCAAACATGTCAGTACGTCTGAGAATGACGGGCTGTTACCCAGGTTATGTGTAGGGTCTGACACTTGTTGCATATGATGACTTGTGTACAGGGTCAAGCTGTTCCTACAGATACGTGCTTTGATATTTAAACTTTCAGTGTACCAGTAAATGAGCACGAAATCACTGAAAAATAAAATCATGGCAAATTACAATCTGGAGGATGGTTCAGAATGAAATACAGAAGAGAAGCACGTGCAGACTAGCTTCAGGGCACCTGAGAAGTGTTCACCATTAGTACTAACTCTGGCATTTGTAAAATTGGCTCTGTTTTCCCTCGAGATCAGGGAAACTATACTCTCTCCCATTGCTACCTTGAGCACATTAGGGCTACCAGTTCTAGGCAAGTGACGCCTAGAGTAGGGATTGGAGGAGAATAAGCCATTCTTAATTTTCAACATTTCTTAAGTCTGTGAGTGTCTAGGATTAAGAATAACTGGTATGTATGGAAGGTAAGCTCTTAGGGGAAAGATGCTATCGGGCAATGCTGTCTAAGTCCAGGTATCCAGTCCACTGAATATGACTGAGAAAAGAAACTAGTGGTCAGGGATACACAAAACTAGAGACAAAAGGGAGCAATGTTGGTAACCAGGCTAACATCCCCATGGAAAGTACTGCAAACAGATAGATATCCCATCGTTTTATTCATTGGCTTGGGAAAGTCTGTGTGGGGATAAGTTTGCTTAGTGCCAAGTTTCAGGACCAAAGCAAAAATTCTCCTCAATGGGAATATAGAGCTCTCTAAATCCAGGGTGTAAAGCTGTTTTTGCATGCAGCATGCTGTTTCATCTCTCACTTTTTCTTTTAATCTGTTGGGTTTTTTTCCGTGTTTTAGTTGACATAATTATACATATTTATGTAGTACAATTTGACATTGCAGTATAATACACATATATGTTGTACAGTGATGATCAAATCAGGGTGGTTGGCATATCCATTGTCTCATGCAGTTTTCATTTTGATGTGGTGAGAACATTCAAAAGCCTCTTTCCCAGCTATTTTGTAATATATAATATCTTACTATTAACCACAGTCACCCTACTGTGCAATAAAAAACCAAACCTTATTCTTCCTATCGAATTGTCACTTTGTACGCGTTGACCAATCTTTCCCTCTCCTCCCTCCTCCCCATTCCCTCCTCAGTCTCTGATAAACACTGTTCTATGCTATACTTCCGTAATATCAACTTTTTATTTTTTTTAGACTCCACATATAAGTAAGATCATATGGTATTTATCTTTCTGTGTCTGGCTTAGTTCACTTAATGTGATGCCCTCCAGGTGCATTCGTGTTGTCATGAATGGCGGAATTTCATCTTGCATGGCCGAGTGGTATTCTGCTGTGTATATACACCACATTTTCTTTATGGATTCATCTGCTGTTGGAGCCTTAGCTTGGTTCACATCACATCTCTTCCTGTGCTCCTGTGTGTCTTGCTCCAGTGCCTTCATCAGCTGTTCAGATTAAAATGTGTTTCCTCCTCCACAGATATAAAGTCTGTAGCGTTATTCGTTAAGCTCTCTCACACTTTTATTTTTATAATGTGATAGTTCATGCGTGCAAACAAAAAAGTGACATGCATATAAATTATGAAATACTATGATGAAATGAAAAACCATGAGCCTATCCTGTTCAAGACCTTGAACATAACTAAGATACTATTGCATCTACTTGAGTGTGCCTCTGAATAATTTGTTTACATTCTTCTTTCTTAAAAAATCAGCTTATTGAGTTATAATTAATATACATTGAAATGAACCCATCATAAGTATGTAATTCAATGATTTTTGACAAACATACACAATGATGTGAATGCATTCTCTGTCATGATCTAGACCATTTCCATCATCTCAACAGTTCTCCTTGTGTGCCTTCCCAGTCACCCCAAACCTCCCAGAACTAGGTAACTCTCCATCTGCTTTCTACTGATTAGATTTGCCTTTTCTAGCGTGTCCTCCAAATGGAAACATGTAATATTTACCCTTTTGCTTCTAAGTTCTTTCCTTTGGCATAATATTTTTGAGATTTATCCTGTGTTATGAATAAAGTTGCTATAAACATTCATGTACAAATTTGGGGTAAATATTTCAGAGTGAAATTATTGAGTGAACATATGCTTATCTTTTCAAGAAACTGTTAAATTACTTTCCTAAGTGATTTTTACCATTTTATAATTCCACTAGCAGTCTGAATTCCAGTTTAACCAAATCCTCTCCAGCTCCTTTTTTCAGCCATTCAATGCATGTGTAGAAATGCCTTATGAGTTTAACTTGCATTTTTTGGTAGCCAACGAAGCTGAACATTTCTCATGTGTTTATTAGCTCTTTGTATGTTTTCTTCCTTGAAATGTCTCCTCATATTATTTTCCTGTTTATTCACAAGGCTGCTTGTCCAATTATTGATTTGCTATATAGTCTGAGAAAGAGTCTTTCATCAGATTAATACGTCATTAACATTTAAGCCAGTCTATGAACTGGTGTCTTATTTTCCTAACAGTGCCTTTCAAAGAACAGAATTATCTACCAAGGCAGGAGAACCGCTTGAGCTCAGTAGTTCAAGACCAGCCTGGGCAACATAACATCCTGTCTGTACAAGGAAAAATTTTAAATTCAGTAGGCATGGTGATGTGCGCCTGTAGTCCCAGCTACTCAGGAGGGGTTGTTTTGAAAGAAACCTCTGTGGTTGAGATAAGGATGTAAAAGTCTTTCTTCTCCCACTGCTCCTCTAGGCCTGCATAGAGGCCCCCCTCTTGCAGTTTTGTGGTCAAGCTGGTTGTCTGGTGTCAGATCCTGCTCCCCCTGCAGCTGTGAGCCCAGTGCTTTCCTTGCCGATAAGTTTATGTTTAACCTCTATTCTAGCTAAAGTGTATGGTTTCTATGCTGACACACAGAAAGTAACTTTTACATTGTTCGGCTTTTACAATATCATATTGTGGTCTTTGGTCAATGGTTGCAAATGTATTTTTTTTGTATGATTATTACCATAATGTATAACCTCACTCACTCTCCCCTATTGAAAGAGCCTAAATAAAAAACTGAGGTTTTCAGGGAAATGTTAGACATCCATGGAGCAGTGTTACATGATATCTCTCCTAGGCCCACCTTTGAAGAAAACTGCTTTTGTCTTTTTTTTTTTTTTTTTTCACCAACCACTTGATCACTTTGAAAGATCTTGAATTCATGTTGACATATTGGGAGCTGGTCTTCCAATATAAGTATACAAGGCAGTTGGTACATCCAAGCAGACACTGAATTTCAGCTGCATGGTTGGATTAGATGCTCCTTTAACCAAGATCTCAGAATGAGAAGACAGTCGGAGGAAACTTGAACCCATCCTGCAGCCTAGAACCAAGACCAGCTGAAGCCAGCTGAACCCAGCAAAATTTCAGCTGACCTGTAACTCTCAGTTTTATTTCTGGGCAGGAAATACAAGATTACATTGTAAACCATGAGATATTGGCATGTTTTGTTAGCACAATAAAAGCTAACAGAGCCACATAACAGATTAATGTCTAGGAATTAAAATGCATGATCACTTTGATTGAATTTTCAAAATAGTATTAGTTGTTTATTTAGTGGGGCTCTGCTGTATACTGTTAGGGATTCACATTCTTTACTCCTCATGTTTCCATGGAAGGGAGAGACTTTTCTCTCCATACTATGCTATTGAGGAGATATGACTTATTTGATGGGTGGATTTGTTCCAGAAACACAGAAGATAAGCCTTGTCCAAGTCTAAATAACAGGAAGGGAAACATTAGAGTTCATTCCTGATTATGTGATCAAAGAGGGAGAAAGCCTTTGGAAACATGAGTTTAGGGCAGTACTTTATGAATTGGTAAAGTCTTAAAGAGACTTGGCTCCAGTTTACTTTTCTCAGTCTTCTGATCCATATGCGAATCTAACCTGAAAACATTCTCACAGGAACATTCTGAAATAATGTTATCTGGACACTTGATGATCCAGTCAAATGGACATAAAATCAATTATTACAAGTCCCCCTCTTGTCACACTGGCACCCATACACATCTCCTTAAACCATACTTACATGCGAAATAAAGACCATCATTCCACCAACTTGATAAAATTCTCTTACGTACACCTAAAAACATGCTAATCCCTTACCCAGAAGAGAAAGTAAAGTTCTTGAGTGATGTTTACTCTTCTTCTTTATGTCCTTAATGTAAATACTGTGATGTAAAATTAACAATTCTTAAATATCATAAGTTAATACATTTTAGTTACACAATAAGGGGATAAGAAAGATATACACACAAGCACCCGCGAATATATATTTATAACAAAATGAGGAGGAGTACTCATAACAATTGCAGTCATCATGTCTGAGCTATGATAAAATGTATGTCTTCTGAGCCATTCTAGTGTGTGTGAGTAGGTCTTAAATGATAAAACCACTTTAACAGTTCACTTTCCCTAAGCCTTGGAATCCCTCCCTCTACATTAAACCAAGGCGGCGTGTGCGGCCTCACTCTTCGTGGCTCACCTTTAGTTCCATGTTTTGTCCTACTAACCAAACAAACTGCGAGAGCCCTTTTCACCTTCCTGAGCTGCAACATTAAAGAAAAAACATATACTTTGCAAACCCGTATTAACAAATTCAGCCTAATCGAACTTAACTTCCTTTTATCATTATCTTATGCCTTTAATATGCATTATCACATCTGTTCCCTAGATTTCTGTCTGTTTGAATTAGAAAAATTCAAGCAGGCCGGGCGCGGTGGCTCAAGCCTGTAATCGCAGCACTTTGGGAGGCCGAGGCGGGTGGATCACGAGGTCGAGAAATCGAGACCATCCTGGTCAACATGGTGAAACCCCGTCTCTACTAAAAATACAAAAAAATTAGCTGGGCATGTTGGCGCATGTCTGTAATCCCAGCTACTCAGGAGGCGGAGACAGGAGAATTGCCTGAACCCAGGAGGCGGAGGTTGCGGTGAGCCGAGATCACGCCATTGCACTCCAGCCTGAGTAACAAGAGTGAAACTCCGTCTCATAAAAAAAAAAAAAGAAAAATTCAAGCAGTTCTTCTGGAGTGTAGTGTGACCTCCTCATGGGTCACAATTTATATCTCACCTTTAGGGGCCTGTTGCAATGTGAGATAGTTATAGCTCTAGAATCAAAGAAAAGTGGTAGGGGTGGGTCCTGAGGAGAATCAGCATTGTCTTTCATGACTCTGTGGGGTCATACAGTTTCCTCAGGCAATAAAAGTTTAGTCCCTCAGATGGAAAAGAGAGGTCAAGACCTCTGGGGTGTGGATGCCACTCTGCCAGGTGTGGTTAGGCTTCTTCAGAGTTTTCTCACACATCCCCATCCTAAATTACAGGATCTCATTATTTCCCAATCAATGCCTGCAGTTTAATGGTAAACATTTTGAAAGTTTGGGGGGTTAAATTGCTTTGTAGTTTAGCCAGTTGCACAATTAAGATCCTGCATTTGATTTTCAGCAATCTCAGTTCTGTAGCTACAGGACATAAGGGTTTTCCTTCAGAGCACATACGAAAGTTTTCAGGTAATTAATGTGATAATTGAGCTGTGAATTCAAATCCCTGAGCTCATCTTTTTCTTTCACCATTTTGTCCAATACTCCTCCTTATCACTTTCCCTGAAACTACCTGTGATGGTTAACTCTATATGTTCATTTCACTGAGTTACGGGGTGTCCATATATTTGGTTAAACATTTCTATGTGTGTCTGTGAAGGTGTTTGTAGATGAGTTAGCATTTGTATCAGTAGACTGAGTAAAGCAGGTTGCATTCCCCAGTGTAGGTGGGGAATGTATTAAGAGTAACCAGCCAACCTCATTGTATTTGCTAGTTTTCCAAAAATGTTTGAAAGTATCATAAACATAGTCACTCAGCTTCTTGTTCTCTGGTCCACGTGGTAAAGCATTTTCTTGCCTTTTCTGAATCTAGGTTTCTCTACCTATTTACCCCTACTAGCTTTTAAATATTTATTAAACAAATTGAGTTACAATGGAACAGTGGGTTAGGTTGCAGAAACACACTTCAGTGTCATTACAAGCCATGGGATCCCATAGCCAGTATTCAAGAGTCTAGCTCAGGCGTCCCCAAACTACGGCCTGCGGGCCACATGTGGCCCCCTGAGGCCATTTATCTGGCCCCCCGCCACACTTCAGGAAGGGGCACCTCTTTCATTGGTGGTCAGTGACTGGAGCACAATATGTGGCGGCCCTTCAACCATCTGAGGGACAGTGAATTGGCCCCCTGTGTAAAAAGTCTGGGGACGCCTGGGACTCTAGCTCTTTCTGCAGGCAATCCGTCTCACATTTCATACCTGAATAATGCAGAGCAAACATGACAAGCATGGCCTGAACCTGATGCGCTTGCTGGAGGGTTCTCTTCTACCTAACCCTGTTTAAGAGACTGCCGCAGAGAATCTGACGCAGCTGCTTCTCTGTGGGCAGAAAGAAATATCACAACTGTCAAGACTGTGAAGTCTGATTTATTTGGCAAGCGTAAATGTGTAAATATAGCCATATGATAAGTACTCAGCCTAGACTCAGAGTCTAAAGTCAATTTTTACTATCAAATCTTGATTCTCTCCTTTGTATTATTCCGTCTTGCCTCAGGCTTACAGGCCCCAAAGTCTCAGCTGAGAAAGTGAAAATGATATTTTCTGCTTGGCATAAGACACAACTTTATCCTTCCCTGACCTCTCTCTGCCTCTTTCTGGGCCTTTTCCCAGTAACCAATATATTTTTCTTTGAATAAAGTAAAGTGTCTTTTTGACATTCCTCTTGTTAAATGTCAACCATGTTAGCAGGTTGTATAGGGATGATAAACACAAATTTGTATTGGGGCAATCAGAGGATGAAACACTGTTTTTTAAGTGTCATGCAAAGGTCTAGGATTATAGGACACTCCTCTGCTCCTGAAAGAATAGTCTACCTACATGAAGAAACAGCAGGATAGTGCAGTGTTGCCGTGGTGATCACCTTAAGCTTGAGAAGAAGAAAAAAAAAAAGTTCAATCAAAATGATTCTAAGCTTTCCCTCAAGTTTCAGGAAATTGTCTACCCACATTTCCTTTCAAATGCTCCTTTCATTGTTTCATTCCTTACATGTTGTTTGCAGACACAGACCTTGCCTCAGTAATGATCTTTACTTCCGGTCAAAGTGACATGCCTGAGGAATCCAGGCAGCTTGGGAAGAGGCAGGAGAGGCCAGAACCAATGCCAAAGGGTCAGGGGTGAGCGCAGAATACCTGGAAGCTCATCTTCCCCAGCAAGAGTAACTCAACAGCTCACATACACAGGCAGCAATCGGGAAGTCTGTCCCTGAGAGCAAGGCATAGGCCCAGACTCCTGAGCAGATGAGGGAGTAGTGGCTCAAGCCACTTTCAACCTCAAGCCTGAGGCCCAGCATGAGGACAAGGATAATCAGAGCCCAGGAGAACAAGCAGGGAGCAGGCAGGGCCAGTGGGGCCAGGTCAAGCATGGAGAACGCCAGGATACTCTTCTGGAAAGAGAAGAGGAAAATGCAGTAAGGATAGGAAGAAATTATTCAATTGAAACTCACATCAGCTAAAGAAGAAGACTGGAGCCCCAACATAGGAAAAAGAGCTAAGCTAGGCACAGGTCCCACACTGGTGTGAGCCAGTCCAGAACCTGGTGCGGTACCCCAGGGACTTATCTAGCTGTATGTGAGTCACTAACAGTACTGACAGATACTAACATATCTTATTCTCACAGAGTCACAAAGTCTTTGAGGTAAATCAGACAAGCGTCTTTCCACTTCACCCATGAAAACACCCAGGTTCAGAGGAGTTAGGTGATGAACATGACACAGCTTCAAGGTAGCAGCAGCAGGTCTCAAACCCTAGCCTCCTGCAGCCGAATCGATTCTTTTCTGGGCACTAACTGCTCCCCACATGCCCCGATCAACTATCAGTTCTTACCTAATTCCAAAGTTAGTGGTTTAATCAGGTAACCCCACGCTGATTACACAATTGGGCTTCAAACCCGTGGCTCTTTGGAGTCAGCCATCCAGGGGCTACACTTGCACTTTCGAACCCGAATTGGGACAGGGCTTTTTCCTTATCCCTTCAATCCCCTGAAGAGGTCTATAGTTCAGGGCTGGTATTGTGGTCTCTCTGATGAGACTCTCTCATGGACATTTTCAGAGAGCTCCCTACCACAGTCCCACCATCACAGACTAATTTAAAATCTGGGAGTGATGACAAATGGAATGAGGTAGAACCATCTTTCACAGATTAAACTTAGAGTTTCGGCCGGGCGCGGTGGCTCAAGCCTGTAATCCCAGCACTTTGGGAGGCCGAGGCGGGTGGATCACGAGGTCGAGAGATCGAGACCATCCTGGTCAACATAGTGAAACCCCGTCTCTACTAAAAATACAAAAAAAAAAAAAAAAAAAAAAAAAAAAAAAAAACTAGCTGGGCGTGGTGGCGTGTGCCTGTAATCCCAGCTACTTAGGAGGCTGAGGCAGGAGAATTGCCTGAGCCCAGGAGGCGGAGGTTGCGGTGAGCCGAGATCGTGCCATTGCACTCCAGCCTGTGTAACAAGAGCGAAACTCCGTCTCAAAAAAAAAAAAAAAAACTTAGAGTTTCAAGGTTATTTCTAAGGTAATAACCTCGGGTTGAGAGTAAAGACTGTTATGGTTCTGCTATATGATTTGAAAGCAATTTTAATGATTTCGAAGAGTTGCTTATTTTCTCCAACTCTCACTTTATGTTTAATACAAAGATGTTGCTCAAATAATTTTTGTATAGGGATGGAAAACAAAGGTTTTTATTGGGGCAATCAGAGGATGAAACATCATTTTTTAAGTGTCATAAAAGGTCTAGGATTGTAGGACACTGCTCTGCTATACAAAAAAGAAAAAAACCTCTTGTTTTTACATTCAATACCTATATATTCTCACAATCAATACCTGTATAGTGTCAGCCCTACCTCTACCCACTGACTCCAGGAATAAAACCTGCCACATGGCCTGGACTTCCCGCCATATGCCTGGAAGTACTTACAGAGCAGTTGGTGACTATGAGCAGCTTCATGGAGCTTGTGTGGAAATTCCCTTTTCCCCAGACTACATCCCCACCATTTCCTCTTCCTTTGTCATCCTCCTTGCCAGCCCTCATGAACTGCATCTGCAGGACTTACCTGAGCAGATGACAGCCACATCTTCCTGGTGGGTGCAGTCATGATACCCCCAGAATCTGTGCTGGCACTGCTCCAGGGTCTGCTCCTCTCCTGAGCAACGAACATCATCCAGCCAGATGCGGCCAACCCCAGGGCCATGGCTTTTCCGGTCTTTGAAGGAGGGAGAGAGGGACTGCCCACAGCCCAGTTGCTTGCATACCACCTGGTCCTCCTTTGCTCCCCAACCATCGTCACAGACAGAGCCCCATACGCCCCTGTGCAGCACCTCCAGTCGCCCAGAGCATAACTTGTCTCCTCCTACTAGTCTCAAGGCAAAGGCATCTGCAGGATGGGGGAGGAAGTCAGGGATTGGAGAGAGGAAGGGAAAGGAGAAAAAATAAGATCATTTATTTTTAATTTTTTTTCATTTTGTATTTTTTGTTTGTTTGTTTTGAGACATGATCTCACTCTGCTGCCCGGGCTGGAGTGCAGTGGTGTGATCAGCGCTCACTGCAGCCTCGACCTCGAGGGCCTCAGCAATCCTCCCACCTCAGCCTCCTGAGTAGCTGGGACTACAGGTGCATGCCACCAAGCTCAGCATTTTTTTTTTTTTTTTTTTTTTGAGACGGAGTTTTTTTTCACTCTTGTTACCCAGGCTGGAGTGCAATGGCGCCATCTCGGCTCACCGCAACCTCCGCCTCCTGGATTCAGGCAATTCTCCTGCCTCAGCCTCCCGAGTAGCTGGGATTACAGGCACGCGCCACCATGCCCAGCTAATTTTTTGTATTTTTAGTAGAGATGGGGTTTCACCATGTTGACCAGGATGGTCTCGATCTCTTGACCTTGTCATCCACCCACCTTGGCCTCCCAAAGTGCTGGGATTACAGGCGTGAGCCATCGCGCCTGGCTCGGCATTTTTTTTTTTTTTTTAAGGAGATAGGGTTTTCTATACGTTGCTCAGGCTAGTCTCAAACTCTTGGGCTCAGGTGCTCCTCCCACCTTGGCTTCCCAAAGTGCTGGTATTATAGACATGAACCACTGTACCTGGCCAAGATTACCTATATTCTCACCAAACCCCATCAGCACACTTGAAACTCTCCACATGTGTTTCTGTGATTAGAACTCCTTCTCTAGCTCTCCACCAGGTTTGGCTTCCCTCACAAGGATCTTTTCACTTCTCCATCTATTTTATAAATCTAACATTTATAAATGACATTCTAGTAAGTTTTAAAAATTGAAGAACTTGGCTGGGAGCGGTGGCTCAAGCCTGTAATCCCAGCACTTTGGGAAGCCGAGGCGGGTGGATCACAAGGTCAAGAGATCGAGACCAACCTTGGTCAACAAGGTGAAACCCCATCTCTACTAAAAATACAAAAAATTAGCTGGGCATGGTGGCACGTGCCTGTAATCCCAGCTACTCAGGAGGCTGAGACAGGAGAATTGCCTGAACCCAGGAGGCGGAGGTTGCGGTGAGCCGAGATCGCGCCATTGCACTCCGGCCTGGGTAACAAGAGCGAAACTCCGTCTCAAAAATAAATAAATAAATAAATAAATAAAAATTGAAGAACTTAACAGATACATGGAAAGATGTACCTTGTTCATGCAATATAGAATTCAAAATAATAAGTTAATATTAATATAGTACTTAATATTTAAAGTATTTTCAGATACAAAAGTGGGTGTTATTATTTCAATTTTTTAAAAAAGAATTGTCTATCTGTCCAATTAAAGAAGCTTGCGCCGGGCGCGGTGGCTCAAGCCTGTAATCCCAGCCCTTTGGGAGGCCGAGGCGGGTGGATCACGAGGTCAAGAGATCGAGACCATCCTGGTCAACATGGTGAAACCCCGTCTCTACTAAAAATACAAAACATTAGCTGGGCATGGTGGCGCGTGCCTGTAATCCCAGCTACTCAGGAGGCTGAGGCAGGAGAATTGCCTGAACCCAAGAGGCAGAGGTTGCGGTGAGCCGAGATTGCGCCATTGCACTCCAGCCTGGGTTACAAGAGCAGAACTCCGTCTCAAAAAAAAAATAAAATAAAATAAAATAAAGAAGTTTGCAATGGTCCTTTGGTGCATGAGTAGCTCTTTGTAAACACGGTTTGAATGAGATTCCACATAATTAAATCTATGAATAAACCTAGCCCCTGGATGCACAAGCATTACCTTCACATTCCACCCATGTGTCTTCATCATGGTTGCAGCTGTTACTCCCCCAAGGCCCAGAAGGGCAATCCTGAAGGGTTGCTTCTCGTCCTGAGCATGACATCTGGCTCAGCCAGATGGGTCTTTGGCCCTGGGCAGGCTTGTGGCAGCGTTTCTGCGTCAGTACAGCCCTCCCACATCCCAGCTGCCGGCACACCACCTTTGTGGCCCGGAGGTTCCAGCCTGCCTGGCATACACTATACCACTGGTCCTGGTGCTTCACTTCTATGCGTCCCTTGCAGTGCCCAGGGCCATCAGCCAGCCTGACATTCTCTGGGACTGGGGAGAAAGAGCTTTCTGAGTCTGGAGAGAAAGAAAGAGAATGTGTCAGTTCCCTGCCAGAACATGGTCTTCTCAGTAAAGGGGAGCCAATGGACACATCTCTCAGTTCTTTGTGTTCAGTACAAGGCATGCTAAAGGGCTTAACACTGCCTCATAGATGCCTGTTGAAAGAATGAATGAGTAAATCAATGAAGAAAATGTAGTTTCCAAATTCCAAGCTGAATCATTATCATTTCTGTAGCATTTTAATTTTTCAAATTGTTTTCACGTCCACATTTGTCCCTCACAAGAGATCTTGTGTAGATTTTTTAAAATAAATACAATCATAACATAAAAGATATGTTCAGCACCAAACGCTTGTTGGTTTATTGTTGGCATTGGGAACTAGGTATCTCAGATCAGTGCTCCCAGCCCTCAGTCTTTCTAAAAAATAGGACTGAGTCTTCAGTGTCAAGGCAAATGGTGACTGTTTCTCTAGAAACAAATTCTGTGGGGAGACAAAGAAAGAGAAGACACGGACTAGCTCCTCAGTCACATCACTGTCTAATGGGCAAAAGAGGAGAGACTATTCATACGTAGAAAGCAAGTAAATGGAGAGAATCGAAGGAACACAGATCTGTTTGTCTCTGGGTCTCTCTCTCACCTATCCACCTATCTGTTAGATTCTGTTAGTTTCCTATGAATATCTCTTATCTACCTGACTAGAAGATAAACTCCTGGAAAACTGAAACTGTTTTGTAAAAAGCATACATTATACTGTGTGAGCTCATTTCTTTCCCCATAACTCCCTGCCCAGCTTTAGATACAGGATACTCTATTCCACACATGTTTAGTGGTGTGCATGTTGCACGTGTGTAAATAAGTGAAACAGGTTCTCATATAGATTGAAACTAAGGTAAAAAGCATTTGCTCAACCAAGTTGCAGTCGCAGTTCTAAGTGAGAATGTTGTTTATCTCCAGCACTACCAACTGATAAAGTATGAGATGTGGGGGCGAGGTACCAATTCGCCATGGTGTGAAAGTCTGCGGTGGGGAACAAAGGCCAATGCCCCTGGCCATGATGGGTATGGCAGCTGGCACATGGTCCCGGAGCCCCATCATGTACTCACTCTCACACGAGGCCCCAGCATCCTCATCATGTGAACAATCATAAGCTGCTTCTTGCTCACATTGAGCCAATGTATCTTCTGTTCCTGTGCATCTGATCTCTTGGATGAGGACCTCTTGGGTTTTTTCTGCTGGTGGCTCATATAAATAACCGCTGGGGGTTCCGTTGGCATCGCCACAGCCCAGCTCCCGGCACAACACAGCCACCTCGTTTTTGTCCCAGCCGTCAGCACACACGGTGCCCCACTGGCCTTTCTGTTCCACCTCCACCCGCCCTTCACAGCGGTGGGGGCCCCCCACCAGCCGCACTCTAGACGGAGACGCTGCAAAGACACAGGTTGTTAGCTAGACACCTGAGAGGAGCTCAGAGGGTCTGTAGCCATGTGCTCCATCATTTTCCTCATCTGTGAAATAACCGGGTAGATTTTATGATCAAAGTGGTGGCCCTATGACTACACTGCCCAAAAGTGGAAGCCCCAGGCCAGAACAGAGGTGTAAAGAGAATATCTGTTGTGTTTTTCTCCTTCATGACTCTGTCTTTCTCCATGGCAGCCAGATGGAGGCAGAGTGTCTATAATTTAGGCTGAACAACTTAACTCTCTCTCACTATCAGTGGCCCATCATGCCCAGCCTTGCTGCTTCCTATGAAATTGTTCCTTGTTCAAGCGCCCAGCTCAGAAGAAATACAGAGCACTGGAAAAGAGAAGAGTCAGAGTCCCAGAGCCCCAAGAGTTTAGTCTAATTCTGGGGACTAGAAGCAGAAGAGAGGATCCATAGAGCTTCCAGATAAGTTGTGAGAATTCTAGGACTTGGTTCAGTTTCCTGACTAGAACTCTGGAAATAGAAAAGACTAACAGAGATGGGGCGTGGTGGCTCATGCTTGTAATCCCAGCACTTTGGGAGACCAAGGCGAGTGGATCACTTGAGGTCAGGAGTTCGAGACCAGCCTGGACAACATGGTGAAACCCTGTCTCTATGAAAAAAATATACAAAAATTAGTCAGAAATCTCTTGAATCCAGGAGTTGGAGGTTGTAGTGAGCTGAGGTCATGCTACTGCACTCTAGCTTGAGCAACAGAGCAAGACTCCATCTCAAAAAGAAAGAAAGAAATGAAAAAGAAAAAAAAAAAGGAAAGACTAACAGAAATTCTCTTCCTTCCACCAAGACGTGCAAGGAGGGTAGAGATGGCTATGTAGGGAGACCAGAAAAGAGCCTCTCAGACAGCAAACATTTGTAAGGTGCATACTACATTTCTGGCTTTTTTTTTTTTTTTAGTGAACTCAGGGAACATCGATAAATAAGAGAAAAGAATAATCTGAATGTCAAGATGAGAACCCGGGAGCAGCATTTCTTAAGGAACCAAATTGCATCCTTCGGGGTATAGGATTCTCCACAACAATAGCAATGTTTGTAGCTGTTCCCCTCTGCTAAAGTCTATACGATCAAGCAGAAGGGGAGACTAGGGGGATTAATGTACAAGAAACTGATAATCCACAACCCTTAGCCTCCCTCTCCTTGGGTTTGCAATGTGTGCATTCCCCAAAGACTCCCTGAGCAGGAAATCCAGCCTCTACTCTACCGGCCAAGCTATGTGCTACAAGCAGCAATGCATTTCAATTCAAAAATACCATTAAGCCTGGCAGGGAGACCCGGATATGCTGGAAACCAACGAGAAGAACCCAAAAGGAAGTTCATTTTTCAGGTATGCTCATGAGGCGGTGAAGTGCATTGTAGACCTAAAATGAGCCTAGCTATTACTGGGATGTTGGCTGAGTGACCACAGAAACCAAATGGGGAGAGGTGCCCTGTCAGGGTAAACCACCCAAAACCCTTCTAAATTCTGGAGGTGGCAATCTGCCCACACAAGACTGAATGGGTGAGGCAGGAAGCCAGAAAGGAAGTCTGCTGGGCCTGTTTTGAACCAGTCTTTCTCTGTGGCTCAAGAAGCTTCAAATTTTCCCCGCTCCTGAGCTTGGAGGACTCCCTCTCAGAAACCCCAAAAAATCTTACCTAGGAATCCAGGTCTGATGCAAATGGCTGGGGAAGAAAGAAGGAAATGAGTGAGGTCAATTTCCAAGGCTTTATTCAAAGAACACGAGCTCTAGAAGGCCTTCACAGAGCCATGAGAGACAGAGTGGTTGACGCAGAGCCTCCAAGGTCAGGCCTGTTGGGACCTTCTTCTCCTGGGATGACCAGACTCCAAGGACGCAGGGACACTGGCTAGGAACCACAGAGACCAATTCTGCCACAGCTAACTGGTTCAGCCTGTTTCCTTCACACGTGATGGTGGGTAGACTGGTTTTCTATTATAGTCAATTAGATTGGTTATTACTGCCTGAAGTAAAAGTGTGGTGAGGCAGCCTCTTGGCTTAACAGAAGAGAGTGCTGGAGGCCACTGGGCAGATGCACTGGTCAAGGAAGGTGAAGATGCCATGGTGGGCAGTGCCAAAGGCAGGGGAAAGGGGCAGGATTCGCCTGTGTGCATTGGCACAGCATTTAGACCAATAAGCAAAATCTTACTGTAAAGGGACAGACAGTAATATTTTCAGCTTTGTAGGCCATACAGTCTCTGTTGCAACCACTCAGCTCTGCCACTGTAGCATGAGAACAGCCACATATACGTATGCAAATGAGTACCGCTATGTCCCAATAAACCTTTATTTCTTAGACGTTGAAATTTAAATTTCTTGTCATTTTCATGTGGCATAAAATATTGTTTTTCTTCTGTTTTTTTCCTACCATTCAAAAAGTAAACATCATTATCAACTTGCGGGCTCTTTTAGCTGATTTAGATGAACAGCTCAGAAAGTAGCTGTACCTGTAGTTCCAAACCTCCAGATTCCAACGCCAGCCTATCTTTAAAACATGGGGGTTTCTTTCCCCATGTTTGGACTCTTCTCTCCATAAGTTCCCTCTTAATGCTGTAGAGACTCCTGAGCCCTATAACCTCCAGAAATCCCTAAGGTCTAAGCGTTTTCAGCTGTAAAACTCACCCACCACCCCCATCTTATAGGAGTTTTCAAAAGGAGCAAACATCTTTGGACCTCCGGCCCACAGCTTTTCAGGCAGATTCGAGTAGTTCAGTGGTTTATCCTGGAATAGTTTCTTTTCTTGGTTTCCAAATAACTTCTCATTAGCCTCCTTCCCTTAATCTTCAGAATGTGGCCACTCTCAGACTCAGTGAGGCCTTCTTTTCAGCTGTCTAAAACTCAAGGTTATATTATGCATATGGGAGTAATGCATTAACCTCACCCCAATATGTGTACTTGTGAAGGAAGGTGAGCATTCCAAGCCTGATATGCAGGTACAGAAGTGATATAGCCAGGAAGCGACTTGGAAGCTCTGCAGTAGGTTGGGTAACTGCAGAAGGCACAGACCAGAAAGGCTTCAGGAAGGAGGTGGAAGTGCAGATGAGCCTGGAAGGCCCAGTAGTACACCCATGAAGGGCAGGACTCGCTGTGGATGCTGTGGAGGACGCATGGATGTTTAGGACGTGGTCAGTACCTTACATTAAACACAAAAGTGTCCTATTGAGAGGCTTGTGTGGGCTCCGGTGATGCACTAGATCATCAAGACATAGAAGTGGAGGTGATTGATCCAGGAAACCCATCTTACATGCAAGGATACACAAAGGCTCAAAATAAAGGGATGGAGGAAGATTTACCAAGGAAATGGAGAGCAAAAAAAAGCAGGAGTTGCAATTCTCATCTCTGATAAAATAGGCTTTAAAGCAACAAAGATCAAAAGAGACAAAGAAGGACATTACATAATGGTAAAAGGATCACTGCAACTAGAAGAGCTAACGATCCTAAATATATGTGCACCCAATACAGGAGCACCCAGATACATAAAACAAGTTCTTAATGACTTACAAAGAGACTTGGACTCCCACACAATAATAGTGGGAGACTTTAACACCCCATTGTCAATATTAGACAGATCAACCAGACAGAAAATTAACAAGGATATCCAGGACCTGAACTCAGACCTGGAACAAGCAAACCTAATAGACATTTACAGAACTCTCCACCCCAAATCCACAGAATATACATTCTTCTCAGCACCACATCACACCTACTCTAAAATTGACCACATAATTGGCAATAAATCACTCCTCAGCAAATGCAAAAGAACGGAAATCATAACAAACAGTCTCTCAGACCACAATGCAATCGAGTTAGAACTCAGAATTGGGAAACTAACTCAGAACCGCACAGCTTCATGGAAACTGAACAACTGGCTCTTGAATGTTGACTGGATAAACAATGAAATGAAGGCAGAAATAAAGATGTTCTTTGAAACTAACGAGAACGAAGACACAACATACTAGAATCTCTAGGACACATTTAAAGCAGTCTCTAGAGGAAAATATATAGCAATAAGTGCCCACATGAGAAGCAAGGAGAGATCTAAAATTGACACCCTATCATCAAAATTGAAAGAGCTAGAGGAGCAAGATCAAAAAAACTCAAAGCCTAGCAGAAGACAGGAAATAACTAAGATCAGTTCAGAACTGAAGGAGACAGAGACACAAAAAACTCTTCAAAAAATCAATAAATCCAGGAGCTGGTTTTTTGAAAAGATCAACAAAATAGACAGACCACTAGCCAGATTAATAAAAAAGACAAGAGAGAATAACCAAATTGACGCAATAAAAAACGATAAAGGGGATATCACCACAGATTCCACAGAAATCCAAACCATCATCAGAGATTATTACAAACAACTCTATGCACATAAACTAGTAAACCTGGAAGAAATGGATAAATTCCTGGACACCTGCATCCTCCCAAGCCTAAACCAGGAAGAAGCAGAAACCCTGAATAGACCAATAACAAGGTCTGAAGTTGAGGCAGCGATTAAGAGCCTACCACCCAAAAAAAAACCCAGGTCCAGATGGGTTCACAGCTGAATTCTACCAGACATACAAAGAGGAGTTAGTACCATTCCTTCTTAAACTATTCCAGATAATCCAAAAAGAGGGAATCCTTCCCAAATCATTTTATGAGACAAACATCATCCTGATACCAAAAACCAGCAGAGACTCAACAAGAAAAGAAAACTTCAGGACAATATGCATGATAAACATAGATGCAAAAATCTTCAATAAAATACTGGCAAGCTGATTGCAACAGCACATCAAAAAGCTTATCCACCATGATCAAGTAGGCTTCATCCCAGGGATGCAAGGCTGGTTCAACATACCCAAGTCCATAAACATAATTCCCCACATAAACAGAACCAAAGACAAAAACCACATGATTATCTCAATTGATGCAGAGAAGGCCTTTGAACAGACATTTTACGAAAGAAGACATACAGGAGGCCAACAAACATATGAAAAAATGCTCATCATCACTGGTCATTAGAGAAATGCAAATCAAAACTACATTGAGATACCATCTCACGCCAGTTAGAATGGCGATCATTAAAAAATCTGGAGACAACAGATGCTGGAGAGGATGTGGAGAAATAGGAATACTTTTACACTGTTGGTGGGAGTGTAAATTAGTTCAACCATTGTGGAAGACAGTGTGGCAATTCCTCAATGACCTAAAAATAGAAATCCCATTTGACCCAGCAATCCCATTACTGGGTATATATCCAAAGGATTATAAATCGTTCTACTATAAGGACACATGCACACGAATGTTCATTGCAGCACTGTTTACAATAGCAAAGACTTGGAACCAACCCAAATGCCCATCGATGATAGACTGGACAGGGAAAATGTGGTACATATACACCATGGAATATTACACAGCCATCAAAAACAATGAGTTCGTGTCCTTTGTAGGGACATGGATGAACCTGGAAACCATCATTCTCAGCAAACTGACACAAAAGCAGAAAATCAAACACCGCATGTTCTCACTCATAGGCAGGTGTTGAACAATGAGAACACATGGACATGGGGAGGGGAGTACTACAGACTGGGGTCTGTTGGGGGGAAATGGGGGAGGGATGGGGGTGGGGAGTTGGGGAGAGATAGCATGGGGAGAAATGACAGATATAGGTGAGGGGAAGGAAGGCAGCAAATCACACTGCCATGTGTGTACCTATGCAACCATCTTGCATGTTCTTCACATGTACCCCAAAACCTAAAATGCAATTAAAAAATTTAAAAAAAAAAGAAGTGAAGGTGATTGATTAGCATAGGGATTTACCAGACACTGTTAGATGCTTTATATTAGTTATCTTGTAAAAAAAAAAATACTCCTACAAACCTCTGAGGAACATAATATTATCCTCACTTCATAGATGAGAGAGCAAGATTTCAGTGAGGTATGATAATATACGAACTCAGACAGCTAAGAAATCAAAAAGGGAGGATGGAAAACCAGGTCTCTTTGGCTCCACAATCACCAGACTCGCTAGGTTAATCTCTAGATTACTCTAAGCAATGAGAAACTGAAGAAAACTAGAAAAACACTGTATGAAACACCTTTAAGAGGAAAACAGACAACATGATCAATGAAACATGATAGTTTTTGCAGTTCTATTTCCTTTCGTGGCTCTACTTGCTGCTACCCAGTGCCCATTCATTTGTCTTCTAATAGTACATTTAGGAAAACTTAAGTAAAAAGAGAAATGGATAAACTATCATAAATCTGTCATTACAAACGTAATAAAATAGAAAAAAAATCTGATAACCTGAATTACAAATGGCTATGGGTTCAGTGACTTTTTAAGGATTAGAATAGTTACCAGATGGAGAAAAGAGGGAGAAGCTCATCCTTGAAAAACATTTGAATCTGTTCCAGGTTGGCAGGGAGACAGTTCTCCTAATCAAAGTTCTAGAAAATTCTGAAGCCTAAACCAACAGGTGCAGAGATACTCACTGAGAATCAAGGAGAATAGCAGAGCCATGACCAATGCAGCTGAAGATGATGAGCTGAAATTTAAGGCTAGAAGGAGGCCCCCAGGCAGCAATACTCAGTTTTGGCTGCAAGTATGTTAAGAGGAGGGACAAAGACTGGTCCTGAGTGCAGTCAAAGTATTATAAGATGACCAGAAACCAACAGACTCAGGGGACAGAAATGACAGAGCTGGACTTGCTGACATCAGCACGTTCCAGAGGAAGAGGGGTGGCCAGAACTGGCAGAAAGATGCTGAAAATGAAACAAAAACAGGCTATCATGATTTGGTCCTGCTGTAAGTCCAGCTCCATCCATCTCTACTTCAGCCCCTTTGCTATGTAAACAGAGGAAAGACCTACCACAAGAAAAAGCAGGTGCCAAAAATACGGCCATCTCTCAGTAGAAGACAAGGCAGTACTTAGTCTCCAAGGATGGTTGGCAGGGGAAGCAGGCCAGTTTTGATTCCTTTACTCTAGAAAGAAGTGCCTAGAAAATATGGAAGCCAGAGGCCATAGGATAAGTGCAGAGTTGCCCTTGGAGGTACATCCCATAAACCACAATCCTGTGTCAAGGTGCCAATCTCTGCATTTGGGCCCAGCTTTATTGGCTTCAAACCAGTTTTCTCAGTGCTAAGCAGAGGGTCCAATATACAGATCTGTTCTTCTTCTCAGTTAGTGCTGGTGTATGCCCATCTTTGGAAGCCAGGTGGAAAGAGATCCCTGAGGTGAGGGACATCGTGATCATTGAACTCAGGTTGCCTCTAGGTCTCAGGTATGATGGACAGAGATTGAGCAGGAAGACCCTCTCAGGCCCCTCTGCCTTGCTTTAGTATTAAACGCTCCTATGCTTCACAACCTATTCTACTCCATCAAGCAATTAGTTTCATATGCTAACATAATTCCTGCATTGCAAGCAGAGTAATCATTCCTCTACTGTGAGACATCTTTGCTTTTTGTAGTATTCAGGTCACTCCGAAGAAGGCTTGATTCATTGCTGGCATTCGTTTTTAACCCTGCATTTCTTTTTTTTTTTTTGGAGACAGAGTTTCACTCTTGTTATCCAGGCTCGAGTGCAATGGCGCGATCTCAGCTCACCACAACCTCTGCCTCCTGGCAATTCTCCAATTCAAGAAATTCTCCTGCCTCAGCCTCCCGAGTAGCTGGGACTACAGGCATGCGCCACCATGCCCAGATAATTTTTTGTATTTTTAATAGAGACGTGGTTTCACCATGTTGGCCAGGATGGTCTCGATCTCTTGACCTCGTGATCCACCCACCTCGGCCTCCCAAAGTGCTGGGATTATAGGCATGAGCCACCATGCCCGGCTTAATCCTGCGTTTCTTTGTTTACTTAATATTGTATTAAATTAAAAGTTTTTAAGCACTCATGAATGCCAGGCAATGTGATGGGTGGATTCAGTACATGAAGGAACAAGGGATAGCTTTGCACTGTAAAAGTATACGGTCTAGTAATGGCAATAGCATGTGGAAACTGCTGTTAAGAGAGAAAGCGTAAGGAACTTTGGAAGCCAGGCGAGGTGGCTCATATCTGTAATCCCAGCACACTGGGAGGCTGAGGTGGGATGATTGCTTGAGCCCAGGAGTTTGAGGCTGTAGTGAGCTATGATCAGGTCACTGCACTTAGCCTGAGTGACAGAGTAAGACTCCATCTCTTAAAAAAAAAAAAAAAAAGAAGAAGAAATAAAAATAAATAAAACTTTGGGGGAAACGGCTACTCTGTTTGGAGCTAATCAGAGAAGACTTCACAGCAGGAGTTTAGGATGAGTTAAGTGGAGAATCAAAATAGGAAAAGATTTTGCTATGCATAGGCAGACAAGTGAAACAGTATTACTTATTTAAGGAACCACAGGTAGTCTGGAATGACTGGATCACAGCCTGCTTGGTGATCAGGGACCAGGGGTTATTGATATTGAAAAGTAAAGACACTAGATGATACACAAGTAGCAACAAGAGCCAGATAATGGAGCGTCTATTATGAATGGGTTTGTAAATGCCAACTATTCACAACCTTCCCTCTCTAGATTCTGAAGTGACACAGTAACAGGTACAGAAATATCAGCTTTACTGTTGATGATTGGACTGCCACTGGAATCCAATATGCTATGCATTTTCTTTCTTTCTTTCTTTCTTTTTTGACAGAGTTTCACTCTTGTTACCCAGGCTGGAGTGCAATGGCACGATCTCACCTCACCGCAATTTCCGCCTTCTGGGTTCAAGCAATTCTCCTGCTTCAGCCTCCCAAGTAGCTGGGACTACAGGCTGTACCACCATGCCCAGCTAATTTTTTGCATTTTTAGTAGAGACGGGGTTTCACCATGTTGACCAGGATGGTCTCGATCTCTTGACCTCATGATGCATTCGCCTCAGCCTCCCAAAGTGCTGGGATTATAGTACCTTCTTTCTTTAGGATCCAGATGTGCACGACTGAGTTTACCCTCAGCAAAGAAAAGACTTTGTGTGGCCTGAGGGCAGACAAACCCACCAGCCAAAACAGTCTTCATGATTCAGAAATATATTTTTCCCCATTCCATGTGGAAAATTGAATGAAGGAAGAGGAGGGGAAAAAAAAGAAAACTTCCCCCCCCCCCAATGTAGTATTTTATTAACGGGTGAGAGAACATGAAGAAAGGAAAAGGAAGCTTTTCAGTCAGGAAGGATATTATCCTACAGGACACAGGAAGCCATGGGAGGGTGTTATTCCTATGAGGTGTGTATTTTGGCTGTAGCACTGAGGAGGAATTGGAATGGAGAAGACCAGTAATGGGTTGTGAAGATCCATTAAAAGACCACTGCACCAGTGAGAGCAGAGGGGGATTTAAATAGCAGGCAGAAGAACCTACCTGAAAGGGACTGTGTTTGGGGGATAAAAGTTACTTAACGTGAGCAAGGAGGTTGTATTGGCTGGGAGCTTCTAAAAAGTGGTAAAGGTCCGAAATAACCACTAAAAGGAAAGGGAGACTGAAAAAAAGACAAGTAAACTATCTATTTTCAGCATCGGGTAGAAAAACTTCCATTTGTAGGCAGCATCCACCTGCCCAGTTGTGGGATCTTCTCAGGCTGCAGTCAGAAGGCTGGTGTGAAAGGCTCATAAAGCCACAGAGTTCAAACTGGGGGACCCACCCAAGGGGTAGATGAGGCTAGAGAAGATCAGGACGTGGGCTGATGAAAAGTGAAAACAGAAATAAGTTCTGGGAAAGGGAACCTCAGTGAGGAAGTGCTGGGGAAAAGGAGAGTGTTAGAAATTCCAGATACAGGAAGTTGTTCAGAGATTTGGAGAGAAGTGCTTGAGGTTTCAGAGAACCTGTTCTGGGCGATGATCAGGCACAAGCTATGGTATGGGAAGAGAGTGAAGAAGGAAGTTTCAGACGCTGAGGAGTTTAGGGAATTGAGAAGAAGTCATCAAGAAGAGGACTGCCCAGAAGAGGGAGCTGGAATGGAAGCCACAGGTTGGGGAAGCCCAAAGCTGTGCGGAAGCAGACACCTGTCTGGAGGACGTCAATACATGACACACAGCAGAAGCTGGAAGACACTGTGAGAGGCCCTCTCATGAAGGGCAGGCTTTGTGTCCTGCTGGTTTGGCATCAAGGTGAAACCTTTGGATATGTAGTAGTGTGTGTCAATTATTAATGGGCTCCATGAGAGTAGAAAACCATCCAAACTGCTTCACCTTATACATCAAGTGCTTAGTATGCAATAAATGATTGCTGACTCAACAAATGAATGCGTGAATGATTGCATTATGAGACAGAACATCACCGAGCCTTTAGACTCACCGGAAATGCCATCTCTTGGCTCTATTCCTTGTCCACATTGTGTTTTCTGGTGGCTGGGACTGACATTCTGAGACGGTTACAGAATGACTGGGCCTCTCCCGGGCTGATGTTTTATAAGCAGTTGATCTAGAGCATGGGGTTCTGGTGGGTTGGGTTGCTCTTTCCTGTGTACACCTGCGAACACCTGTCAATAATCTCTTTGATTCCCTCTTCTTGCTCTCACTGTGTCCCTTCTCCATCCCTGGTGGTGACCAGGATGGAGGGGAAGCTCAACATTATGCCACATGATAAATAGATGCAGGACTTCGGGTTCAGGGAACATAAGCATGGTCTTCAGGCATTTAAAATAAAATTGTTCTGTGGGATTTCTGAGGAGGGAAGACCACCTACGTAAGGAAACTATAGGTGACACAGGTTTGAACTTTGAGGGTCCCTCCACTGATACGAAGATTTTTTTCAACCAAATAAAGAGGGCAAATTTTTAACATATGCCGGAACTGAGTATCCATGTACATTAAGGAATGACTATATAAGAAAACAATTTTAAACCCATTATGAGAAAAAAAAAAAAGCAGAAGACAAAATAGTTTGCCCCAGAGACCATGAGCTCTCTATAACTGTAGATGTTTAGTCACATTGCCTGTTAATGGATCCATTACTTACAGTTTATTATTAATATTTTTTAATATCACCAAATCTTAGGGTACTTATTGCAAAGAAATTTCCAATCACTCACAGGAAAGACTAAGGACTTAGGAGTTAAGACTCCAGCACCGACCCTGTCGGCTCGGGCCCGTGTGGATGCCGCAGGGCACACAGGACACCTGCGCTGTGGCCTCCCTCGGGGTCATAAGAAAATCACACTGGGTTTCCATTCTTCAGGTACCTGCAGTGTGGGATCCAAGGGGACAGAGAACAGGTGATGGCAGCCCAAAGACTGGAGTCCACGGGGAGGAAACTCAGCGAGGCTGCTCGCCCAGGGTGCCCTGGCTGAACCCGGACTGGCTGCCCACGTTCTGCTGGCAGCAGAACCATCCCTAGCTGTCCTTGTGTCCCTGGTGTGCTCTGCCCTGGAACTTCTCCCTGTGCTTTTCTGGACTTTCCTGGAACCATCTTTAAAAAGCAGCCTTACAGTGCAGAGGCTGAGAGCGTGGGCGTTGGACACAGGCGGACTTGGCTCCAACTCCCACTTGGTCAGTTACCAGCTGTGGGTCCTTGAACAAGACACATTGGTTCTTTCTTGATAGTTCTGTTGACTAGGTGTAAACTTTTTATTTTTTGGCTAGGATAATCAGTTTTTATTTCTTTCTTTTTAAAAAATGAATGTTTAATTAATTTAATCTTGCTTAATCCACATTCA